ATATATATACATCTGAATGAAACAATTTACAACTAGCAAGACCCTCCTAAGTTACAGTTTGCTATTAAGAGACCTCACTAACCTGTCATCACAAATTTTCTCATCTGATAATGATCTAAGTTTTACAGGAGGTACACTGCTTCCCTCTTTCATATCAATCAGCTTTCAACAAATGCTGTTGCTGGCAGAAGTGACCCTCACATCACACATGTTGTATTCTTTAGATGAAGCAAACTCCAAGGGTAAGATCTGGGGACCCTCTACCCCCAACAGCATTCCCAGCATCTTGGAAGTTAGGAATCCTCCCAAGTAGGAATCTGGACACTGTTTCAAAGTATCTGCTACAGTCCACCCCTTGCAGCACTTGGATCCTCTTGTTATAGGTTCTCAGATCTCCTCCAAGTTAGCAGTGAGCCTCTGTTCCTGGTGGTAACTTAGAAGAGGGAAGTTGGTGTGAAAAATTATATCCCCTGGTGCTATAGCTTGTTTCAGAGTGACAACTCCTACTCATCTTCTCTTCACTTGATTACCTGCTGAAGATTTTTCTCATTCTCAGCAAGCTTCACTTCTGATCTGTTATGGTAAAACCAGTTGCTCATCACTGAGGGTGAGCCCTAGCCATTATGCCTTCTCAGGCTGTAATCTACTTTATTTTACAATTGGAGAGGTGAGTACCAAGAAGTATCTAAATAGAGCACCTAGTTCAGTGGTGCTGAACCTATAGCATGTGTGCTGTCCCAGGCTGTTATCATTGAAAGCTCTAAAGGATTTTCCATCACTGATTTGGGTTTTACTTGTATTCTCTCTTTTCCTTCCTCTTCCTAATGATTAAATCCAATTATCCCTTCCAAAATAGTGACTCCTCTTTTTTGCCTATTGGCTCCTTGGTTCAAGGAGCACCAATGTATTTGCCACGTGTATAGTTCAATGGGGCTATTGCTGTGTTTCCTGGAAGAGGCATTTCCCACTGAGGAACCAGGGCATTAAAACCTACAGAGCTCAGTGTTTTGAAGATTCTTCAAGTAAGTCATTGGGAGTGATAGTTGGCAGCACCATGAGTACATAACAGATCACTTGTTTCCACCCTTTAGTTCCTTAACTTATCTATTCTCCCCATTGTGAATACAGCACCATACAAGGGTCTTTGATTTATAATATACCCTACCTCCTGGACAATGTGCTCCATTCTCACAAAGAATCACCTTTAAGCCAGCTAATCAGCTAAGGTCTCAACAAGTCTATCTATATCATTGCCTCTCTGGCTGCCAGCTACGCAGTACTAAAGCATGCAATAGAACCAGTGCAGATGGTCATGTGCCCATTCCAAAAACTTCTCTGCTTCTTGGGCCAGGGATTTAGCCCAGTAGTTCCACCACCTTCTGCACAAGCACAAGGACCTGAGTTCGATCCCTGGTACAACAAAAAAAGTGAGCCCCTTGCTCTGGAGGATTGTGTATACATCCCATGGAAGTACAATTGACATTATAGAAGCCCTCAGAAAAGGGTGTTAGCCAAAGGGCTAATTGCAGAAAATGTAACCCATATCCAGAATGTGTGTTCATTCAGGTTTAAATGAATTGGAAGGTATCTCACATGACCAGTTCACCAGTTTCTGGCTGGTATTCTTGAGGGATGGTACTATACTGGGGACTCAGCATCACTCTCTGATACTGGAATGTTAGACATTTGGCAGGGACAGTAGCTAGAAAAGTTTTGGTAAGTGGAAGGCCGGGACGGTGGGCCAGTGCACAGTCCAATCCCTGCTACCACAGCTATTCTATTCAAGGGCTGCTTTGCTGACACTGGAGTGGCTCTGGCAGATTCTGGCTGCCATCAATTGGTTAGTCATTTTCAATACTCGTATGTTCAGTGCCTCTTCATTGTGCTCATTAAGATGCAGTAGAAAGATGTCATGCTTTGTGCCACTTCATAAGCCCATGCACGTATCTCTACTTCAGATTTACTTATTGCCTCTTTCTTCTTCTAGACCCTTGCCCATCTACTCAAGCCATTTGTTCCGCTCATAAGTCTGCATATGCTACCACTCCAGGCCACTTACTTTTTAATACAAAGTAGATGAGAAATGTTATGGTTTAGATCTAAAGTGTCCCCCAGTAGACTTGTGTGTTCAGAGGTGGGGCTTGTGGAAGGTGATTGGATTACAAAGGTGCTATAATCAGTGGTTTAATTCACTAGAGAGTTCAGAGCTGAATGTGCTATTACGAGCTAGGGTCTGAAGCAGAGAGGAGGGTCACTGAGGGCAGAGTCTAGAAGGACACAACTCCATCCCTAGCTCTTCCCTTCAATCTGTTTCCCGGCTGTCCTGTGCCCAGTCCTTTCCATCATGCCCCTTCTGCCTCAGCCAGATGACTATGGACTGAAATCTCTACAAACTGTGAACCAAAAGCAATCTCTCCCCATTTAAATTGAAGGTGTTAGGTTTTGCGTCTCAGTGATGGGAACGTGACTGAGACAACCAGGGCCCATCTGAAGCCTTCCCTCTCCTGTGTCTCTCAAGATCACCCTTGAATGGGACTGTGGTGCAGTCACCATGCCTTTTCAGAGATTGCACTCCCAGTCAGAGCGGATCCATCCATGAAATAAATCTGCACTCCTTCCTTGTTAATCAGCTGGTCATGAAAGATCTTTCACACAGCTATAGGTGTGAGCTGAAGCGGAGGTGCTGGTGCAATAATAGTGGACGATATGGAGATCTGTGCTGCTTGAGTATAGCCCCAGTCTGATTTGGGTGTAATCCCAGACTTCCAGTTCAGTCTTATAATAGTGTATCCCATTGCCTATCCCAGTTCAGGATGGGCTGCTTTGACCACGTGGTCACTTGGTGCTCATGATTAGTTATTCTCTCAATACAAGTCCCTATAGCATACCAGAGCTGTTACTCAAAATTGTACAATTCTCTGCTGCAGATAGTGTAAACTTGCTCTGGAAACTTACATGTCTGACTTTCCACTTTGCATCTGTTTTACTCTCTGATCACTGGTACAAAACACCTGTTGTCAGCAATTTAAGGAGGAGAGAATTATTACGGCTCGTGGTTTTAAAGGGTTCAGTCCATAAGTGGCTGGCTTCGAGGAAGAAACACCATGGTGGAGGAAAGCTGCTCAAACTTTGGCCACCAGGAAGCAGAGAGGAGAAGTAGCCAGACCCAGGGACCCATTTTTCAGCAGGGGCCCAATTTCCAGTAGCACATTTAACTAAGAATTCTTCAATGGATTAATCCACCAATGAGTATAGCACCTCCATGATCCAAGCCCTTTCTGAAAGCCCTACTTCTAAACACAGGATGGTCTGGGGGGACAGTTTAGATCTAAACCTTATCAACGTCCAAGTGGCAGGTCTGCTTCCATTTCTACTAAAGAGGACTAACCACTGAAGGCAGTCTTCCAGCAGCCTTTCTAGCAGCTAGAGCAATAAATTACTTTCTGATGGGAGATTGACACTGACTCTTGATTCTACCTGATTAATGCAGAACTTTCCTCCTTGAAAATCTTCTTTCCTACCAATTATTTCTAGGCATCCTCAGAGGGCAGCACAGCTGAGCTCCTGGCTGTTCCTCTCAGTTTTGCTCTGCACCCCCCTACTAAAGTACCCTGGATATTAGACCACTTGATGGGGGAAGGGTGCTGCACAGAATGTGCTGCTCAGTTCCCAGGAGGCCCAAATAAACCCTAGAGGAACTCTGCACCCCAAATCTGTGTGCCGCTCCTTCATCAGTTGTGACATGCTGCTTCTCTGGTGGCCCAGAATGGAGATCACTGGGTGACCCATGGCCAAAGGTCAAGGTAGATTACAAGTTGCAGTCCAGTCCTGCTCTCCACACACTTAACAGCGACACAACCTTCCCTTCCCCTGCTCTCAGGACCTTCTGTGTATCCTCCCTCATAGTTCTGTCTGCCAGTTCAGCAGCCATACTGAATGACCAGTATAAAAACCTCAAGCTGGGATCGTCCAGCTATTGTTTTGGACCAATCTTCTGTTACGACATTTGAATTGTCATTATTGTGAATAGTGAGTCCGCAATTAGCCTTTAAAATTTTATGCATGTCTAATCTTGATAAGGTGGCCCATATGGACACAAGCCAAAATCAAGATTTTAATATTTTATTTTATTTCATTTATGTATTTATTTTTGTGGGGCTAGAGACCTCGGTAGTGGCGCCTGGATCCTTCTGGGCTGCTTGAGACACTTCATGAGAGATCTTCCATAACCGTCTGTTTGGAAGAAGACAGGAAAGCATTTATCCATGTGAAGTTAGGCTCAAAGGGTCCAAGATCTGCCCTCAAAACCTACTTCCCCAACGTTTCTGGGATGGACAAGGCATGGACCCCTTGGGGCACAGAGAGGCTCTGAGAAGACCAGAAGCTCCAGAAGGGGTGTGAGCACAGACAGGAGGCAGGGTTCGGACAGCTGAGCTCACGGGAAGAAGCTGAGCCTGCAGCAGCAGTTGAGTAAGGGACAGGAGACACCCCACGGCACTGAGGTGGTGCCCGAGAGGTGCCGGCACACTTCAGGAGGAAAGCTGCCTGTTTCTTTCAAAGCATCTTCTTAGAATCCTTTAAATCGCTGGTTCATAGGTCCACAACCCCTCTAAGAGTTTAGTTACCTCAGAATACTTGGGCCAAGCGCTGTCCTAGATATTGAGAGTCTGTCCCCAAACACAGCCAACATTTGAAAAGTATGTTTTTTTCTTCCTGTATCAAAGTGAGAGTCAGAGATTCTGAGGACAGGTTTACTCCCCTGTCTCATCTTGCAAACACTGCCTATGTGGATGTTCTACTCGGGAAAGAGTGGAAGTGCTGGACCATATGTTGTACACAACTGGACCAAAAACCACTCCCACCATCACGCTCAGGCCACCACTGGTTTTCCAGAAGCAGATTGTTCTAGGCTGGGCAGTTTCAGTGTGGTTTAAAATGATGTGAATTTTCACACTGTCCAACAGAGCTCCTGAAAACTTTTCTTCTTTGAGATCCCACTACTGATTCTTTTAAGATCAAATTAAGCTACAGCACATGAGGTAAGATCCTACTCACCAATTCATGGAAAGCAGGTCCCCGCTGCTCACAATAGTGTGGTTTCCAGGATTACAGAGGACTCTGCCACTCACTGGCTACTAAACCAGTCCTGGGAGAACTGCCTGGTTTTGTTTTTGAATCTTGATGTACAGTGGCTCCACTTGTCTCTTGGAGAATGAAAGCACGACATGAACTTGGAGGAAGGGCTCACGAAATGCTGTTTAAAAACCAGAACCCTTCAAGCTGGAACAACAGCAGTGAAAGTGTAGAACGTTTTCCTGGCGCTCAGAGACAACCAGCAGAGAAGAACTGGTCGCCAAGCTACAGTCTTCTGTGATCCCTCCCCACTAACGCCAGCCTCAGATAATCTAACCTATTAGAGATAGGAAATTTAATTTTAATCAGTCAGTTATTAGCATTTACATGAAATGTATACTTAGAATTCTAAATGGATACAAGAACTTTTTAAAAATCTTAATAGTCAAGTTAGATATTATTGTCTTTATTCACAAATAAAATACCTGAGGTCCAGAGATGCCAGGGCACACCTCCCAAAGCATAAAGCAAAGAAGTGGTGGAGTTAGCTCCAAAGTTAGGTCCTGCGCGGTAGTTCCGTGTCTGTGTCACTTTCTCCTCACTGGGATAAGCACACAGGCATCACGTATAGGAGGGGAGGTTTACTTTGGCTCACGGTTTCGATCTACAGTCGGCTGTGGGGCATGGTGGAAGGACCTGCAGAGGGGAGCTGTCCAGGTCTCAGTGTACAGGAAGCAGAGAACAAAGGGAGAATCAGGGAGGATTCCGTTCTGGGTCACACCCTTGTAGCCTGGGCCCCACATTCAGCTATCACGCCTCCCATGCTCCAGCACCGTGCAAAAGCCCGCCTCTGACTGCATGAGTTTGGGGGGATCATTCTTGAATTAAACCATAATATCTCCTGTCGGAGGTTTGGTTTACTACAGTCTGAATATATTAAATGGGAAATTCTGGAAATAAATATTCAAACATTTTAAGTGCCATTTGTTACAGTATGTTATAATTGTTCTATTTCATTATGTGTTAGTACTGATTGGTACTTGAACAGCTCATAACATTGTCATCATCGGTATTTGTGTATATAGGTAAAAACATAGTGTATAGGGTTGCAATGTATTTCCTGCAGACAAAGGGGGACTAAGGCTTTGGTAATCTACATCCTCAGTGTTAAACAACAAAAACAAACTTGTCACAGCATAACAAAGAATCCAAAGGCAAGCAGCCTGCCTTCATTAGTGCAAATTATTCTTGCTCAGCTCTCCCCTGCTGGCTCGTTCCTTCTCCCAGGGTCTGGAAGGAGGGAGAAACGGTGCCCAAAGTTACCATTTAGCTTAATCCCCATCCCCAGCTGCAAAATATTGCTAGATGCTCCTCAAACACAAGCAGTCTGCTGGGGCCACTGTGAACCTGGTTGCAAACTCTTGGAAAGCTGCAGCTAAAAATCCCATTTGTCAGAGTAATGCTCCTTGAGGGTTAAATCACCCGTGGTGCAGAATGTCACAAAACAGTAAACTCTAAACTGTATCTACTTCCTCCCAGGTAGTCCTGGCCAGGGATCCAGAGTGAGCAGGCAAGGTCCTGGCCTCACTTAGCAAACAAAATGCATGGCCAGGTTTCTCATTCATTGAAGTCTGATTATTCATCAGTTCAACCAATACTAGGGAACACAATGGGCCAGGCTCTGTGCGGGGCTGAGAGCATTCACGTACAGAAAGGCTGGGCTCTGTCTCAAGATGCCTGCAGCGCCCTGGGGGTGGTGAACTTGGCCTCACTGAATGCAGCATTACACAATAGAAGTAGGGATAACCACAGGACTGCTTGGTAGGAAGACTGGGTCAGGTAGATGCACCGGGAAAGGTCCTGAGCCCTCAAAAACGGGCAGAAGGTGTGAGGGTGTGTGTGGGTGGAGGGCTGGTGGGCAAGAGAAGGAGTCAGAGCAGCCAGCCCTGTGTGGGTATCTCCTGGCCCCCTTACACCTCCCTCCCTCCCAGCCCTCATCCACAGAAGAGCACAGACTGCCACACAGGCCCGGTGTCCTGTCTTCTTGTACCCAGCACCTCTCACACAGTGAGAGCTGCAGGCTGGGAGCCTCCTGTTCTGGGTCCCTATTCCACTGGCCGACACCCAGCAGGTGAGGGAAATCAGTAAAATGTCTGTGACAGGGAGAAGGGAACGGAGCAGGAAGAGAGAGAACAAAGTAATTAGTACTTAGCTGTGGGCACAGGTTCATCTTCCTCAATATCGGTTCACAAACCCAGGTGAGAGATATAAAGTATACAGCAACTGTTAAAAACTACAGTAAAAGACACATTACCATTAATCCTCCTCAAAATACTCCCTCTGGCTTAGAATATATCCCTCACTTTTGCCGCTCTGTGAAGCAGTTCTGGAAGTCCCCTCGCCAGGGTCTTAAAAAGTACGGTGGTAGCTGCTGCGAGGGCAGTCCAGGGGAAAGGCAGGCCACAGGCCCAGGGCCGTGTGTCCCTGTCCACGCTGCTCACCAGATCCGGCACCGGAGGCCTCCGGGTCTTCCTCAGAACCACTGTAAATGGAGGCATTTGGAACTGCACAATGGACACTGGTGAAGGAAGACTCAGAAGGGCTTCAAGAAGGGCACGAAGAGGGCACCAACGCGCCAAGCCAGGGAGGGTGAATGGCGACTTGTCTTTACTGTGATTCGTGAAGATTTAAACTTGCACGGTATTTTTCAATCATGCCACGCTTGCTCTGCCATCACAGAGCCACCCTGTCCCTTCCTGCATCCTTCAGTCTCCAAGCATTAGCGCCAGGCGCCGGGGACACAGGGCTGAGCTAAGGGTCCCTCCTTTCGCCCGAACATGAACCCGGCCGGTTTCCAACCCCGACTGTCCAGCAGACTGCGCATAGCCGGCCGGCAGGTGATGCGCAGCAGGGTGGAGGCGCCTGTCCCGGCTCGTGGGTGATGGGACCGGCCCCGCCCGGCTCAGCTGCTCGCTCAGGAACCGG